AATGCTACCGTACAATGTAGGTAACACCGACTTTCCACTATTTATGTTATGAGTCCACATTTCGAGACTCCGTGCTACTAGTGAGATTATTTTTATAAACCCAGTAATACTGCCTGAAATTGAATCCGAGACCCCTTCCCCGGCAATCGCAACCATTCGACCAACGAGGCAATCGAGAGCAGTTTTCCTGAAAAACACTAATTTACATATTTGAAAATGTTAAAGTAAAAAAAATCAGATGAGATCAACTTTTTCTTGAACAAGACATATTTTCCTAATTACGCAAAATTCGTGTAATCTATTAAAAAAAAATTACTTTATTTAACTGAACACTACTCTTTTCTTTTTAAACAATAAAACCTATTGTCTTATAATTTAATTAATGAACTACCTAAAACCTAAATTACAATATACCGTTTCATTTCACAGCTCTTTTCAAAGACCGACATGGTAAAAAAGACGAAATATTTTGAAGAAAAAATAAAACAAGTGCCCGTGGTGACTAATTAGAGTAATTAGGCTATTTCTTTAGAACGAAAGGTAATTTTCTTTGCAATATTACGATGAAGAGCTTGTTACTTTTTTCTTTTCTTTACAATATTTATTAGGTAACAACGCTTGCAACCGAATTTTTCTTTGTCAGAAAATCTATTGAAGAGTCTGTTTTTTCTGAACCGAATTCTAGTAATCATCATGTCAAAATCGTATGGTGGTGTGCCTTTCCAGAATCTGATTTACAAATTCAAAAAATTAGGTACCTAATATGTTACAGTGGTGCCATGCCAGTTTATATGCCTGTTCAATATTTTATTGGGACTAGCTTGCTGCAACTCGTGTAAGCCAAACACCCCCAAAAAACACTGGAACACTGAAGTCCGGCACGTCTCAGGGACATGAATAACTGTTCCCGCAACGAACTGAATCAGAAGATATTATAAGAGAAGAAAAAAACGATAGTTTCCACTTCCCTAGGTAAATTACTGAAGAAAACTGAATTAATTAAGCCAGGAGGCACAAAAAAGAGATTGTACAACTGGGTGAAGCCCAGTCGCCAAGCACCACGGAAATATATTTATTTATTTATTTAATAATTTATGTACACACAGACAGCACAGAGGATAACACATATATAAAATAAGAGTACAAAGGTGCTACTTATTCCTGTTGGAATTTCTTCCAGTAGACCTGAGACAGGAAATCTAATTAAAACAAAAGACACGGTGTGTATCAAAAAAATAAGAAATATGTATAAAAAAGACTAAAGCTAAATAATAACTAAATAAATATAGTATAAATATAAATACTTAATATATAATAATAACAATAAATAAAATACACACATATAAATAAAAAAAAGTATCAGTACTCATGAAGTAGAAGAATATATGTTATATTTATTTTAAATCTACTTACCACATGCATACAATTCGCTTGCCTTACCTTTTTAAGGGGTGAAAATCATCCAATGTCTCCTCCGACCTTAGGTCGGGTGAGAGGGAGCGTCAGAAACTTACTGACTAAAAATTACTAGTTTCAAGTGCTGCTCTTCGAACCGGATTCCAGAAACCCGTTAAGTCTTCTGTGGTTCCATATCAGGCATTAGCTCTACTGGGCTGGGAGAAGGAGGACTGTGGTGGGAGGAGATTGTGATAAACATAACATGATATAAACATAACGTCACGCCTTTTATCCCCGAAGGCAAAGGTGCACACAGAAGTAACACCGACTTTTCACTATTTAGTTATGTTATGAGTCCTATGTAATAGGGGGTGAGCCTATTGTTATATACCGGGCACATTTCCAGACTCCGTGGTACTACTGAGATTTTTTTTATACCTAGTAATACTTTCTCCGACCCGGGAATTGAACCCGAGACTCCTTGCCGCCAGTCGCACTTGCGACCAGTTGGCCATCGAGGCAGTCCTGTGATAAATATTCTTACGTAGAATAGGCCCGCATTCCAGCAGTAATAATACTAGACAACAAGGATGTTGAATGAAAGAGATTATAACCTACAGTCGCAAACGAATAAAACCTAAATATACAACCTCTTTGATTTGACATTTCGCTTACACCATGCAGTCTGTGGTTGAAAAGTCAAAACATCACGACAAAATTACAATTAGATCAGGTAATAAATGTAAATTGAATGGAAAATTTTATAAAAATTAACGTTGATAATGTCGGCGTTGGACGACCTGCCCGATGTGGTGTCTTTCTTCGGAGTCGACTTGAAGACCGGCGCCTTGATAGTCGCTGCAATAGGGGTGGTAAGTTTCTAAGCTACAACTTTTTAATGTGTATGACCTTGAACGTATCGAAATACGATGTGTTTGTAAGAGCAAAACGCGCAGAGAGTACATAATACATATCTTCCTAAGAACTCGTTTCACTCTCATCTTCTATGTTAAATATTAATTAAATAAAAAGTTCGTTGGTCAAAATAATTATTAAACTTTGAGTTATTGTCATTGCTGTGAAGACCTCATACCAAAGTTTTCGATATAAAACTGAATAAAATTATAATCCGACTCAGCATATCTCTACTTGACCAATGGCCTTGCTTAACCGAGATTTTGAATACTTGCAAAAACTCTTGAGTGAATAATTTCGTTATAGGCAGATGTGCTCCATCGTAGGCCGCATCATTCCTTACCACCAGACGAAATAGGGGACTAACGTCGGTCCATCCCAATAGGGCTGTTGCCGATTCGGAGTCGCGGAGAACCTAACGGGTAACCGGGGCTCCGGCTCGACGTGCAGGAGAAGGAACGGGGTGGTTTTTAGTCAGTAAGAGTCTGACCCTCCCTTCCGCCTCACCCAGGCAGGAGCAGTCATTCGATGATTTTCCCCCCTTAAAAAAAAAAGTCGGTCCATCAAATATAAAAAAAACTCGTAGAAGTAGCCATACATTCAGATCAGATAAAAACCTACTGACATCAAGTGTACAACAAAGGTATATGAATAAATTGTAACATAGGTACAATAAATATCTTATGTACTCTTTACACATACTGTGTAAAACATTACATGACACATTTCCATATGAAATTCTGACTAAAACCTTTGGCTTTATATGCTCTCTGAGGCATGTCAAAGCGGCTATGAACCAATTGTATTTAAGTAAGGGGTTCTGTACGGCTAAAAATATTTTGGATATTTCGTTATGTTTAATTGTTATATTTTCAGTTTTCGATCAGATGGATGGACAGTGATCAGTGATTTTTTAGTTATTTGTGAGGTGTCACTTGGATAAGAACTTGAAACATATCATAAAAATAACATATCCCATCTATTTAATTTTGAGATAAAAAGACTGCAGCTGTATCCAAATGCCATTTAGCACTTGTCTACATATGGAATAGAAAACCAAATTATATGGAATTGACGTATATACCCCCTATACATTTTGATTTCTACTCTCTCTGTAGACAAGCGCTAAAGTGGTGTTTGGCTAAAGGCACAGGTTACATTAAATATTATTTTCAAGTGGGGTGTTTTTACATTTAACATTAAAATATATTTCGAAGATCAGGTAGGCTATCTTGAAAATGTAAGTATACTTGCTTCTGCATGTGGCTTCACCCACGTTCCTGTAGGATAAAAGTAGAATATGTGTTATACCAGACCATGAGCTATTCTTAATCCAAATTGGAACCCGATCCCTTTAGCCATTTTCACGTGTTTGAGTAACAAACATTCACACGAATACACCAACTTCCGCAGTTATAATATTAGAAAGATTTGACCTTCAAGCATGGATCTCCAAAAAGTGAAAATAAAACGCTACACATAATTACATAGGAAGGGTACATATAAAATGTTAGGAAGGCAATCCTGTACAAAGGGCCGGTTCACAATGAGATACGTTTCTATGCATCCGTTGTCGCGGATGAAGAGAGCGCAAAATTCGATGTGAGATGTTCCTGCGTGCGTAGCGACGAGACGTGTGCCCTGGTTTCTGGGAGCTCCGCAAACATGTATTTGTATTCCACTAGTCTATCGTGATATTTAATCCGAGGAACCCTGTTATTAGTTTACCCTGGTGGCCTTGACCGAATCAAAAGGCTAAGATGTAAAATAGTTTAAGTCCAAAATTCAAAGGTTAGCTTTAGTTATTTTGATATTAGCAATTATGTGCTATTTTAATTGTGTGCCATTAGTACTATTACAATCTCCACTGACTTCTCAAAGTTTGATGGCTGTGAAACTAAGCCAAAGTTAAGGTCTTAATAGTTCTATTATTGATTAGACTTGGTAATAAAATCTCGTTAAGATTACATAAATAGTGAAAGGTCAACAGATGAAGCAAAGGTTATGTATTAAGTTACTAAAACTAGATTTTAAATATTAGGTAAAAAATATTTCACCTTACTTGAATTTTTATCCTTTAATTTTTTAAATGGGTATGATGGATTGGATTAGTCTATATATGTCGAAATGTGCGTGTATGGACCCAGTTTCGTCTTTACCATAGCCCTTATGGTCTCTCGGGGTCTGCACCCAGGGCCCCCGTCCCCTGGGTGCCCCGAAGGACTGACAATTTCGACAACGGACACACGCCCGCTACACGATGTACGGCAACCGGTTGCCCTGCAACGTGTAGCGGGTTGGATTCCCGTAAAATCTTTGTGTGATCCACAAATTGTTCTTTCGGGTCTGGGTGTCATGTGTATGTGAACTTGTATGTTTGTAAATTCACCAATGATACAGGAGAAAATCTTAGTGCGATGCAACGTTAAAAAAAGAAACGTTCCGATAGGGCCCCGAGTAATTGTGTGCCCAAGGCGTCTCCCGTCTGACACTCTTTCTCGTCTTACCCAGTCATTCGATGATTTCCCACCTTAAAAAAAGGCGTAGTCTAAGACAGCCCTATATGTACCTCTAACACTAACACGCTGACAAATTAATTACATTGACAATCCAAATTCATATTTAGGAGCCCAAAATACTTGAGTTAGAATAGAAAAAGTTATAGCCCCTGATTTGATATTTTGCAGGTCCATCCAATGGCCTACGGATGTACTTGCTTCACACCCATAAGCTACCTCATCGTCACAATATGGATCCTAGTGGCTTTGTTCTTCGCTGCTAGCGTCGCTTTGTTCTGTGGAATAGTGAATGTAAGACAACAAATTAATAAAACTGCATTTTGAATCTTCAATTTTTCTTCTTCATTAATCTGCGTTTATGGATAGATACATATTTGGAAAAACAATGTAGCCTACTCCACTCAAACTCATACAGAAAAAATCATTTAAATCAGTCAAGCCGTTTAGGAGGAGTTCAATGGCATACACACGTACAGCAGAACTATATATACTAGTCAAAACAAAATAAGGGCCACCACGTTTTTATAGTTTCCTCATGAAATTTTGAGGTTTAAGGGTTGATTAATGATTAGATTTGATAAATTAACTGTTTTTTATTATTAACAGCACAAAATGATGAAAGCCACATTCCAAAAAAATAAAATACCATTTTTTCTGAAAAACTAACATTTTTGCAAGCAAAACGTATGAAATAAAATTAAATGAAAAAAGAAAAACAAATCAGATATTGGTTGAATTGTAACTCCTCAATATTTAGTATGCCCTCCTCGTTTTCTAATGCACTCTTGAAGCCTGGATGGTACACTCTCCACCAAGTGTACCACTGTTTCTTGAGGAATTTGTTCCCAGCTTGATTTTAAAATGTTTATTAGCTGTCTTTCATTGTGCACGGGTTGGTTTGTGCTTCGAACGTTGCGTTTGAGTAAATCCCACATGTGTTCAATGGGATTGAGATCCGGACTGTTTGCAGGCCAGGGCAACACCTGTATACCAGCCTCCTCTATAGCTTCTCTAGTGGCCCTAGCTGTATGAGCGCGAGCATTATCGTGCATCAGACGGAATCTTGCGCCGATTCTTTGTGCATATGGGACCACATGAGGTCTTATGACCTCCTCGATGTAACGTTGAGCTGTAATTGTGCCTTCGTTGAGAATTATCAACTCAGTTCTACCTGATGTAGAGATTCCTCCCACACCATAACGTTAGGGCCCCCAAATCTGTCACTTTCATGGATACAAGCATCCGAAAATCGCTCACCTTCACGCCTCCAGACCCTGATGCGACGGTCATCACTAAAAAATTTTACTTTGCACTCATCCGTAAACAATACTGTGCTCCATTCACTCATATCCCATGCCAGATGCTGCCTTGCGAACGATAATCGGTTTGCACGATGAGCACTTGTCAATGGTATCCGCACTACACGTCTCCTAGAGAACTGCTGGTCCTCGTGTAACCGATTTCTAATGGTTTGATCACTAACACGTGTACCCGTAGCCTGTCGCAAACGGTTTTGTAAGGAACGGGCTGTGATGCAGCGTTCTCTGCGCGCAGTCAAACGTATGTAGCGGTCTTCCTGTGCGGTAGTTGCTCGATTTCTGCCAGATCCCCGTCTCCTGGTTAGTCTCCCAGTCTCTTGAAATCGATTCCAAGCATTCTGAATTGCTCGCCGAGAAAACCCCAGCTGCATCGCAACAGAACGCTGCGAATGGCCTTCTTGAAGTAATGTTACGGCCCTAGTTACGGTTGGTAAGTCCATATGTCGTCGGATTCTCGGCATATCTTTGTTAAAGAAATAACTCAGCCAGAAGTAAAACAAAACTAAACTGTTCTTGACAGAATCGTCAGTTTGACTGACTTAAAATCCATCTTAAAATCGGGTAAAATCAAGTGGGTACAATAAATTATCAAAAACTGCCCACTTCACAGAGTTATGCCTGTAGAACACTTAAATAAATGTTTGTAAACAAATAAGGTAACGCTGTAATAACCATTCAGCTACTTGAGTACGAAGAAAAAATAAATTATCGCTGCCGCTGTTAAAAATAACAAGTGGCCCTTATTTTGTTTTGACTAGTATATATAAAGATAAAAAACAATGAATTAAATAAGTAAAGACAAAAATAAAGATACAACAAAGTATAACAAAATAGTGACAATACAATAGTACAACAGAAATTAAATTTTAACAAAACGAAGATGTAAATAATGTTTAATTGCGCGTGCCTATGCCAAAAGGGCCTCCATCCGATGTCATCTGCCTTGTCGTCAGCACACCAGTTATGTGGATGACAAACACTGAAATTGCTTTGTTTATCCACAGGACGATGCCCTGCTTTGCAGTATATGGATTTGGTACACATTGATATTCGTAGTGATTATGCTGATGCTGATGACATTGCTGGCTCTACTGTTTACATCTAGGAGACAGACGAGTAGAGTCTTTGTCGCGATCTTGGGGATGCTTTGGTATGTCTGTAAGTATCTTTATGATTTAACTCGTTTATATATCTTTAAAGTGATCCGTCTGCTAGTTTACCGGCTTATGCCATAAAAAAAGGAGTCTCGGGTTCGATTCCCGGGTCGGGCAAGTACTACTAGTAGTAGCACGGAGTTTGAAAATGTACCCGGTATATAGCAATAGGCTCACACCCTATTACATGGGACTCATAACATAAAATAGTAAAAAGTGGGTGTTACATTGTACAGTGGCATTAAGTGCCGTAATGTGCACCTCTGCCTACCCCTTCGGGGATAAAAGACGTAAAGTTATGTATGTATTTATGTTTTCACGTATTGTGGATAGTTTTCAGAAAATATTGACCTTATCTCGTTCGACCTTTTCATTTTGCTGTTTCCATCCTACGATGACATATTTATGACATAATATCTTTGATAATTGAATAATGTCTTGAAAAGAATACTTAATTTAAATTTTGGGTTGGTTCGAGTCAGAATATTTTATTTAGATCAACTAAAATTGAGTTTCAACGCCTAGCTATTATGTATTAAATAATAACTCAATTTTCATTTTCAGTGACAATCTATTTCATATTAGTAGTGAACAGTCATCGCAAAGCTCTCAGTAAAGCAGAAACAGAAGGGGCAACCAAAGCACCACCAGCAGGAGGACCAGTAGAATCAGGGAACGAACCAACATCAGACGCACCATCAGGAGACGCATCACCAACAGACTCGCCAACAGGGGACGCAACAACAGCAGATGCATCAACACCAGAGGCACCACAATCAGACGCAACACCATTAGATACACCACCACCAGACGCACCATCATCAGATGCACCAACGGATGAGCCACCACCAGATTCACCAGATGCGCGAAAGGCGCTACGCAAGGCTAGTGTAATACCAAAATAAATAGTTTTATTTAATAATGTTCAGTCATGTACTCATTTACCCTTCGTACCGGCTTCACAGACTGGTCATAAGAAAGCGGCCTTATCTCGGTTAACAACAGCGACTGCGGCTAAACCAATGTTGCAATGTACAATGGTCCCAACAATTCGCCACAAAAAGGGCCAACGTTTGCATCAGTATAAGAAAAGCTTAGAAGAAGAAGAAGAAGAAGTAGTGAAACTTATACATCTTTCCGAGGATAATAATGTGAAGGTTTAATTGCGGAGTTCGCTATTCGCGTATCTATTTATTTGCTGAACATGTGGCGCCTAATGTGATCGTATTGTAATTTGTAAAATAAATTTGGTCTTATTTTTGTTTTTGTTTTATTCAGAACTAGCTTTTACCCGCGGCTTCGCTCGCGTCACAAAAGACATAAAAAAGCCAATGTGACATATACACACAGCGCCATCTATACCAATACTTTTGTTTTCCCTCGGGAATATTAAATTTTTCCGGGATAAAAAGTACCCTATTATTTAATTCGGACTTCTAACTATACATCTGCAAAAAATCAAAGCAATCGGTTTAGTGGTTACGGCGTTAAAATGGAACAAACAAACAAACTCACTTTCCGATTTATAATATAAGTAAGGATTCATGTCGTTTATGCAGTGCAGATGGTAAAGGTTAGTTAAGGATAGTTTCTTTAGGTATTTTTTAGACCAGTGACTCGCCACTATTTAACAGGTTAATTAGCAAACTTACTGACATAACCAATATGAAATTTGTTTTGTTTACAGTCGTCGCTTGTCCTGATGCAATATCTCATTTTCAGAAGAGTATGTCTATATATCCTAATTTTACTTCTTCTGACAAACACAAATAACACTATTAAGATACCTAGATAAAGGTATGTTTTTATAATAACTATCGTGAGACATACTAAATTAACTAAAAATCGCGGGTTACTCACGTGAATATACTGAGAAAAGGTCTACTAGTTTCGAACCACAGAGGGGTTCTTCCTCATGAGTAGTGTTCACGTGTCACGTGCGTAACCTGCGATTTTTAGTTAATTTGGACAAAGGAATGCCTCGTTGGCCGAGTGGTCGCATTAGCGACTGCCGAGCAAGGGGTCTCGAGTTCGATTCCCGGATAGGGCAAAGTATTACTGGGTTTTTTAAAAAAAATCTCAATAGTAGCACGTAGTCTGGAAATGTGCCCGGTATATGGTAATAGGCTCACCCGCTATTACATGGGACTCAAAACATTAACAGTGAAAAGTGGGTGTTACTTCTGTGTGCACCTCTCTCTGCCTACCCCTTCGGGGGTAAAAGGCGTGATGTTATGTTATGTTATGTTGGATAAAGGTAATTGTAAAAACTTTACGTAACAATCAATCATTTTAAATATTGGAATTACAATAAATTAAAACTAAATAATAATACATTAAGAACTTTGCAGAAAACATCTTCTGTTCTGGTACATTTGTCTTTTGCTCTTTTAGCTTCGTTTTCGTACACTTTCTAATCCGCAACTGTAGACGTAAGTGGGGTCACAATTGTTCTTTTTCGAATTGAGAGCCAGTAGCCGTATGCGACTAATATGAAGTAAGCCATAATGACTGAAACAAAAGTTAACGTTCATTAATTAAGTACTTTCCAATTGGCCATCTGTATACAGATAAATAAATTTACTACATGCATGTACATACATAATTATGAAACACATACCAATATAACAATTTTTAGAATTTTTGTCTGTCTGTCTGTCTGTTTGAACCGGCTAATTTCTGAAATGGCTGGGCCGATTTTGACGGGACTTTTATTGGCAGTTAGCAAATGTACTAAGGTACTCCTTAGCGTAAGGTACTCCTTCCCTTAATAAACGTAGCCTGTGTTACTAGTCGCGGAGAACCTAACGGGTAACCGGGGCTCCGGCTCGACGTGCAGGAGAAGGAACGGGGTGGTTTTTAGTCAGTAAGAGTCTGACACTCCCTTCCGCCTCACCCAGGCGGGAGCAGTCATTCGATGATTTTCCCCCCTTAAAAAAAAAACCTGTGTTACTACACAGGCTACGTTTATTTATAACTTACTAAATATATTTTTATGTTTTCGACTCAGTAGCAGCGCGACCTTCGATCAACAATAGCAACGATCGAAGAGCGCGACAGTCGCCGCGTCGTGGGTCGCGAAATGCTGCTCATGAATATGAGCCTCTAGCATGGCTTGTAACTAGTCGAGTTCCTCGGCAAATAATTACGTGAGTAAGCCGAAAACATAATAATATATTTGGCTAAGTTTATTTTGAAAAATTGAAACAAAATAAATGTTATGTCTTAAAATTTATACGCGGATGAAGTCGTCAGCAACAGCTAGTATTTAATACTTTTAAAGTCAAAAACGATATTTTTATTAATTTTGTAGCGTATGCGCGCGTAAACATTAGTCCATCCTACTCCTATGGATGACGTTAAAGTCGACCATGGGACTACTTATTTAACAGGAGCCTGGCAGCATCGTTCATTGATAAACCTGATACTTTTAAATTACAATCTCTAATCCGCTATTACGGCAAACCTCTATTTTGTACAGATCCATAGTGATGATGTTGTTGTGACGTCACAATATTTTGTGTTAAAAAAACACCAATTTCCTAATATAAAGATGCAAAATTACTTATAGATAATTGTTTTATAAAGTAGTTAGAAACATAGACAAAAAAATGAAACGTCATCGCGGAGCGGGAAAATGTAATCTGTGGTTCGAAAACTGAAAAAGTCAAGATGGCGGGAACTCGGAAGTTATTGAGACGGCGTATTTGGTGTTCAGGGAATTTTAATCGTCAATTTGTCTATTTATGTGTTGTTGTTGTTGTTTTTCTTTCCAATTAATATTTATGGTTTAGCTAGTACTGATTTCGTAATTTGATTTCGATGTTAACAATATAAGGTGCATTGTTATGATGGTACTCTTTATGTTTCCTGCCTCCTGAGTTTCTAAAATCTAATGTGTTTTAAAACCAATAAGTTTCTAATATCAAAGAGTAAGGTGAACTCTATGATAGTTTTTTAGTTTTCTAATACTACTTTAAAAAAACCCAAGCATACCCTTTCGGGGATAAAATGCGTGATATTATGTATTGATGATAGATAGATTATAAACTAAAAGTCTTTAAGTAACTCCTAAGAGAAGATATTTCTTTTAATATTTCCATGTAGGTATGATTATTACCAAGAAATGAAAGTAGATAAAATAGAATGACATAATCTAAAGGTGTGACTTATAAAGGTATTTTTATACAAATATTTTTAGCTACAAACCGTTGCTACATTTATCTTTTTATACCTTCCAAAATAATCAGTGAAGGGAAAGCCGGTGTGCTAGGGAATGAGTATACAGAGGTATATATACGTACACCGTACACTTGGAAGCAAAAAAACGATGCCACTAGCGATTTTTCCATTTTTTTAATTTCATTCATTGTTCATGACTGCCTCGTTGGCCGAGTGGTCGCTAGTGCGACTGCCGGGCAAGGGGTCTCGGGTTCGATTCCCGGGTCGAGCAAAGTATTACTGGGTTTTAAAAAATTCTCAGTAGCAGCACGGAGTCTGGAATTGTGCCCGGTAATATGGCTATAGGTTCACCCCCTATTACATGCGACTCGTAACATAAATAGTGAAAAGTGGGTAAACAATGTAATTGTACAGTGGCATAATGTGCCTACCCCTTCGGGGGTAAAAGGCGTGATGTTATGTATGTCATTCATTGTTAGGGAATTTTATACAAATTTTGCGACGATATCAATCCCATTGTGCTTTTACATAACAAATATATTTACAACTTAAATAGTGACATTTTTACTATACCTTAGGCTTACAAATTAATTACTTATTACTGTGATATTCTACAAAACAACTTAATCTACTTATCTATCCAATATAAAGGAATATATTATAATTTTCGCAGCTTCAGATGTAGGCTTAGCTAAAATACCATTAAACATTCCAACATCCATTACTGACAGTTTCATGGAGTTGAGAAGTGCATTTCTCTTATTTTTATATCGGATACATTCTACCAACACATGCTGCACGTCATTTTATCCATTTTATAGAACCCTCTATAACCTTGAAAAAAAAATTTTTATGGCATTAGCCGGTGAACGAGCCGACGGATCACCTGATGGTAAGCAATCGGCGTCGCTCATGAACACCTGGAACACCAGAGGCGTTACAAGTGCGTTACCGGCCTCTTGGGGATTAGGAGTTTCAGGATCGTTGGGATTCAGAAATTGGGGAGATTGGGGAAGGGGAGGGTAATTGGGCCTCCAGTAACCTCACTCACACGACGAAACACAACGCAAGTGTTGCTTCACGTCGGTTTTCTGTGAGGCCGTGGTATCACTCTGATCGAGCCGGCCCATTCGTACCGAAGCATGGCTCCCCCACATTTACAAAATGCTCTCATTTTAAAGGTAATATAGTTCCCTTTTATACGACACTAGCTCCTTTCCGCGGTTTCACCAGCTCTGCTCGGTTCCTTGGTCGTAGCGTAACGTTTTATAGCCTATAGCCTTTCTCGATAAATGCACTATCCAACACAAAAAGAATTATTGAAATCGTACCTGTAGTTCCTGTGATTAGGGCGTTCAAACAAACACACTCTTCAGCTTTATAATAAATAGTATAAGTGTATAAGATAAGTTATCAATTAATAACAATACTTGTATCTATCAGAAAATATTTATCAAGAAAACAAAAAGAAAAACGCCAGTGGCCCTTTTTCTTGCTCCCAAGTGTATTTAAATTTATGAATATACATTATTATGTTTTTTGATATACGATGATATTCTCATCTTTTGATTTCTGAATTAGATTTATTTTTACTAGCTCATAGATGAAGTAGGTATAAGTAGAAATCACCTTTCTTAAAAGTAAATGACAGGGTTTTTTAAAAAACGTTGCCCCAAACTAGGATTTTCCCGACACTCGCCACGTGGCCTCTAACACGGCTTGAAACTAGTCGACATAACATAACATAACATCACGCCTTTTATACTCGAAGGAATAGGCTGAGGTGCACATTATGCCACTGTACAATGTAACACCCACTTTTCATTATGTATGTTATGAGTCCCATGTAATAGGGGGTGAGCCTAAATTACCATATACCGGGCACATTTCCAGACTCCGTGCCACTACTGAGTTTTTTCTTAAAAACCCAGTAATACTTTGCCCGACGCGGTAATCAAACCCGAGACCCCTTGTCCGGCAG